CCCCAAAACCCCAAAACCCCAAAACCCCAAAACCCCAAAACCCCTCCCAGTCATCTTCTAGTTGAAATGAATTTGATACTTTTCCAGTAATAAAAATTATAATATTTAATAAAATAGTATGGAACAATCGCTGAGTCAGGAGCAAATGAACCAGGTTCTACAAAAATTGAATGAGACAAATGATGTCTCTACCTTAGATTTCAAGATAACCCTTGCCCAATTGAAGCAATTTAAGAAAGCAAAGTTATCGGATCCCAGAAGTAGCCACAAATGCAAGAAATATGTAAGTGGGCTGATCTCAAAGGCAGACCAAATACAGAAGAATGTGTTTACATTAGTGAACTCTGACCCAAGTATTAGACACAAAGAGGCTGGAATTACCTCTGTTTTGGATCAGTATTCAGACTTTCCCATCAGTCTAGAGCAAGCTGAGATTCTGAAAGAAATGTATACCAAGTCTGTGAACACGTACAGTCAGGAAATTATCCCTGAAAATATTGAGGAAATCCTAAAATCTGTGGATATTAAGATCCTTGACAGAGAAAATCTCCTCTACAAGAAAGCTTGGCAGGCCAAAGTTGATAAACTCTTCAGTGACCAGAGAGGAAAGTGGAAGTACTCCCAAGTAGTAGAGTTGGCAAAGCCCAATCCTGAATGGAACTGTGAGCCAGAGACTGTTCAAAAAGTTGACGAATTTTTAGAAACACAAAAACAATGGTATATTGATAGTCAAAAGAAAGAAGAAACTCAATTTGAAGAAGAGCTGAAGGAATATTTTCTTGAGTTCGATGACAAGAAGTTTGCAAAGATTAAGAAGGAAGCCACAGTAAAAATTGAAGAGGGAAAGGAAGGTGTGCCAAAAGGAACCATCCAGACTAAGAAGGAGTAAGTTTTAATAATTTACCTATAGGGAGTCGTCTTCAGACAGCTCTGATGATGAATCAGGGTCCTCTTCCAGTGGATCATCAGGATCCTCCTCTTCCTCATCTGATTCAGATACTGATTCTGAGGAAGAGAGGAGGAAAAAGAGAGAAGAAAAAGCCATATTTAAAGAGAGTTTCGAGCAAAAACAGAACCCGTTTAAAGGAAATGAAGCATGGGAAGTCAATATCGTGACTGAAATTGATGATAATATGGGAGAATATTACTCTGATGACCCTATCCCTTCTGAACCAGATTCCAGTGACAAAGATAATGATGGCTTCAAGCCTATGACAATGGAGCAAAGGAGAAGAGCAATGTTTAATAGTGAAGAAACAGAGGGTAGACTCTTCGCAAAAGAATTAATCAGAAAGAATGAGGAAGAGAAAAAGTTTATCCCAAAAACCTCTGTAAAGAAACCTGAAGAGTCTGATGGTAAATCTGAAGGATCCGATTCTGGTTCTGATTCTGGGTCAAGCTCAGGTTCTAGTTCAGGCTCTGGTTCTGGCTCAGATTCTGATTCTGAAGCAAACTCTAATGCTGAAATTGAGAAGAAAGCAGTAATGAAAATCAAGAGGGCAAAATATCAAGGTAGTGGTCCAGTTGAAAGATTTGTTAAAAAGATTGGCTATGGTGGAACAAGAGTAGCAAGAGATAATATTGAAAACAAATTTCGGGATATTTACAGAGGTAAGTTCTTCATCAATTTTCAGTAAATCTAAATTTCTAACTTTCTCTAGAAAAAATTTTGATAATCTTACGAAAGAACAAATACTTCAAATCCGCAAAGAAGACAGTAAAAGAGAGGGCTAGAGAGCTAGAAGAAATTATGCATAGAAAATAAGGAGCTTAAGCCAAAAGACTTAATCCATCACATAGAAATAAACTTGAAGGAATTATCAGAGAGCCGTTTGCTCTCGCACAAATACCTTCTAGGGAAGTTACCAACCAGTTTCCTGCTGCTAAGCCCCTCAAAATTCACCAAAACAAAGGATAAGATTCTTAAATAAGATCTTGAAGAACTATAAGCCTGGAGAGAGCCAAGTCAAGTTGTCTGCACAAGGTAAGACATAGTGGGATTTCTCTTTAAGAGATTTTGAATTCTTCCTTTTTACCTATATTTTAGAAACAAAAGTCAAACAAGAAGTTACTAAGGAACAAGAGGTCATCCAGAAGAAGAGTGTTATAGAGGTGATGAACGAAGCAAGAAGAAAGAATAGGGTTAAAGAAACAGAAAAGTGTAGAATGCATGTAGTACAGAGGGAAAGATTTGAGCCAATGAGACCGGAGATGGGGGCTTATGAGGATTACGGAGGCTATCAGGCTCATGAAGAGGATTATATGGGTTATGGAGGTGTGAAGGATGAGTATAGGCATCAGCATCTGCCATTTGAGAATCACCAATATGATAATCAAGTACCTCCAATGCAAGGAATTGATCCCAGAATGGACCCAAGGATGGATCCAAGAATGGCTCCTGGTTATGATCTTCATCCAGACCCACCAAGGATGATAAACCCTATAATTCCAAAATCAGAAGAGGATCTTATACAAGATGAAGAGAATGATGAATATGACCCATTAGCAAATTTTTAATACTAATTCTCCATAAGTTCGTTATCATAAGGGGTTTTGGGGTTTTGGGGTTTTGGGGTTTTGGGGTTTTGGGG